TTAGACTTGTCGAGTTGAAATAAATAGGTTAAGATGAAGCTGCTTAGTTGCGAAGCATGATTTTCAAACTGTGTGCACGATTGCTGGCAGCATAACTTTACACAATCTATTTTTCTGTTGGCACTCAGTTGAGAAATGATGTTTGGTTGCCAAAAAATGATCGTTTGGGCTCTACCTTCCGTCCTTCACAACTCTGAAGTTTTTGTGATAAACATGATTGATACTCTATTCATTGTTATGTTGTTTCAATATTCAGTAAGCTGTACATACACGCCAATTCGAATACAAACGTTCTACTAGTTGTGCTGCACTGAATTCTGGATTTCTAGTTCGTCTGGTTATACTGATATACGTGCGGAACTTAATTCTCACATTCTGGCGTCGCAATTCGAAGAATTAATCATGTCCGCCGAAATAGTACCATTAGATGTTAATTTGATTGTGCGAGACTTAGAGGATTATTTGAAACGGTTTGACATATTGTGTCTCACAAAATCTGATATGGATGATATGTAACTCACGGCATGTGTTGGCAAGGAGGCGTATACTTTCATAAAGAATTTATTATATTCTGAATCTCCAATCGATATTTCTTACACTGTATTGAAGGAAAACGTTCTGCAACACTTCAGACTGATTAACTTCGTAGCAGCCGAAAGAGCTAAGTTCAATATGTTGACCCGCTCTTATTCTCAGTCGGTCCGTGATTTCGTGTTACAGCTGCAGACACAGGCAGCCAAATGTGACTACGGTGCCCAATTGGAAGACCAGCTGCGGAATAGATTCATTGCTGGCATTCAACTGCCCGAACTACAGCAGAAGATGCTGCCCTGTCCGGATCAAAAATTTCAAACTATTCGGAAAATGTGTAAGCAGTGTTAAGATGTGAAGCATGTGACAAAGACTGAGGAAGCAGCGTTCTTAAACTATTCTGAAAGAAATAATTCAAGGGTGCAGACGAACAACAGATTCAAACGTCGATAGACCCTTGTGCCCCAAATCCATCAAGACTTCACTTCACAGATCGTAACTCCAATCCGATGGTTCAAACATTTGGAAAATGTGAATCTTGTGGACAAAACCATTCCAGATATTCATGCCCTCATAGACAGCGAAGTGCTTTATCTGGGGTAAAACACGACACATTCAACTTGTCTGTAAGTCCAAAAAACTGTATCACTTAACTTCCGATCCAAATACTATCTTAAAAGCATTATCTGTAGATATCTCTGCCCTTTCTCTATCTATTTTGTCTCGAAATTCGACACATAGTTTTAAAACTTTGGTATCCGCTTCTAGTCAAAAGCACGACTTCATTGTTGACACTGGTAGTGTTCAATTTATTATTCCACACTCACACCTAACGACTTTCTACTCCAGTGCTGTGATAGTGCCTACAGATGTTAGTATTCGCGGTATCACTGGCCATTCTGTACCTCTAGTTAGTAGTTGCACGACCCCTGTGAGATTACCCCAAGGTACCTCTATTGATTGTATTTTTTTGGTTTCAACCTTGGGACAATCAATTATCGGACTCAAATTTCTGCGCTCACTGCGAACCTTACTGATTTTTGTGAATGAGGATGAACTCAAGCAGCTGATTCTTAAATGTTCCAAGGCTACATGTGGTATGAGAATACCCAAGGTGAAACTCGAAGTTACAGGAGATCCTATATTTTCTAAGAGACGAATTATTCCATTTGGCTTACGCCAGCCTGTTCGTCAAGCAATAAATTCATTGTGTACGAAAATAATACTGACTCCTATTAAATCATCGAATTGGGAACTCCGATAGTTACCTCACTGAAGGCTGATGGTATTACTCCGAGAATTTCCAATGACTACCGGCTAACGCTAAGTACGCGGTTACGACAACGTTCATGCACTACGGAAGAGCCCGAAGGTGTACCGTATCTTTTATGCGGTTCAAGTTTCACGTTTCAAAAATCGATCTAAAGGATGCCTATCTTTAAATGCAACTGGAAGAAGCCTCTAGTAACTTTACCGTTATCAACACACCTTTTGAGTTATTCCGATAAAATTTCCTTCCCTTTGGTCTGGATGTTTCACCATCTGTGTTGCAATAAGTTATGGATACCATTGCAAAACATTTGGAGGGTGTGGGGACGTACCGAGATGACGTCATAATGCATGCTGATGATGAAGAAAGCCACTATATACCTGTGTTGTCTTTACCGGATCGATTATCTGAGTTCAATTTAGCTATTTATCCTGATAAATGCACTTTTGATGTCCCATCATTTTCATACCTTGATTAAATTGTGGATGGCCATCTCCTTTAGTAAAGGCACCATCATCAACCAATCTACAAGAACTGCATTCAGTTCTAAAAGCACTTCAGTATTACTCCCGTTCCATTCCTAATTTCACCAAACATGCAAGTTGCCTGTTTAATGTCATATCTGCCAATCGATTTTCTTGGTCCTCCAACCATGAAGAGACGTTGCCTGTACTGCCTGGTTATCTTCAAACTTCAGGTGTTTTGAAAGCATTTTCCGCCAAACATCATTCGACCATCATTGCTGATGCTTTCCACACTGGAGTAAGAGCAATCCTTGAACAGTGTGGTAGACCAGTGATCTGCATTTCCCCTCAACTTTCAAAAGCTGAGCGTGGATATTCTCGGACTCAACGAGCAGTACTTGCTGTATATTGGGCTGTCAAACGGCTCCATAATTATCTTCATGGATCAAATTTTGTCATTCCTGCTGATCACGATGCTTTAAAATTCTTGTATCATCCAACAAAGTCTCTGGCGAAGCGATCTGCCGCTATGGTGCAGCGGTGGAGTATTGCACCGAATTCGTATACCTATATAATTGTTCATCGTAGTGCAAAAATTATTCCGATTTCTTGTCAAGAATTCCATCATTCGACCATGAGTAAAACAATTCAGAATTTTGTTGATTCAACCACTACCAGTAAAGCGGGATGCGCTTTTTGTTGATACTAAAAGATATTTTGCTCCCAACTTTCCGCACTGCGACGTGGTTGGACGCAGCGAAAAAGACGCCAATTTTCTGCTTTTTACTGTCGCCGCTAAAGCTTGTCCGTTACTCCGGATGGTTTGTTGTGTTTTGAGGCTAGAGTTATCATTCCACCAACTCAGCGAGTGACTGTTCTCGTAGATCAGCACTATGGTTATTTGGGTGTTGACAAAATGAAATCCCTTGCAAGCTTGTCATGCTGGTGGCCAGAACTGGATGCCGATACCAAGCACACTGCTAAAAATTGAGTTAAATGTGTACATAAGATTCACAACAAGTCTTCACGGTGGTATCCGCGGCCAGTTACTCGTGAAGCATTGCAACGTGATCATGCCGACTACTGTGGTCCCCTTTTCGGCAAATACTAAGCTTTAGTTG